TAGATTTTGTGAGTTCTTTTTTTGAGTTTTGGTAGAAGCTGTCTCCCAGGTCTGAATGTCCTAAATAGACTTAGCTACCAGTTATTTTAAGTCATGTCAGAGGCAAAAAAATAAGTTGGCTAGAGTTGGGTTTTCTCACCTCTGCTGTGTTTAAATAAAGCCTGTCACCAAAGCTGAGTCAGCGTGACAATCATTGCCAAAATGTTTTCCAGTATGTTGCTCCAAAAACATTAAAAAAAAAGTCACCTGATATCAAGGACCCTGACTTCAAACTTAAGGTACCTGAATGCCTAAAGGGATTTTTCTGAATGTCTTAGGTTAACAGATTCTTTATTTACCAGCCCACAACGGTGAACTTCATTAGCTTTTTGTTGCTGATGCCAGTGCAGTCATAATGTGGGTCCGTGTAACAACAGGGTGCTTAAAAATCTAAAAAAGATTGCCTTCCTTGCTGTGTGTTAGATGCGGAGATCAATGCAACAGTAGCTGTCATAAAGAGCAGGCCACAGCCGGAGTCTGGCTTTGGATCGAAATCTAATAAAAACTGCTGGCCGGTGTGTTTTTAAAGCTCACTAATTAACACTTAACTCAAATTAATAGCTTGTTTGTTTAAGCTAAAGCTGAAAGCTGAGTGTTGTGGTTCCAGCAGTGTGGCGTAGCTGGTTTCATACAGCGACCTCACGCTGTTGCAGTCTTCTACATCTTCAACTTCCCATAATAAAAAGTTATAGATTACATTCATGCAACTATAATATCCGACATGGAGTCTGTATTTGCCCTATTCATAAACTGGAATGAGCTGCATTGATGAATATTTTAACACTTCCACCACAGAGTGGCCGTCAACTCACTGTAATTACAAGTCAATGGAGTAAAGTGAAGTAAGTTGCCAGCTGGGTGTGTGAGGTTTTTAGGGAAACCACTGTAAAACCTTTGTCTCAAGGACTAAATGAATAAATGTCAGTGGATACGTCCTCACAGTTGCTTGTGTGCAGTTGCTCTGACATAAAATAGAATCCACAGAGACTATAAACAAGCCTTTAGATTTGCATTACCCAACCAGTTCTCTCTCTCTCTCTCTCACACACACACACACACACACATACACAGAGCACCTCCCAAAAGGCATTCAAGCAGGCATAGTAAAAGATAATTTTACACTATGATTCAAGAAATAAAGGGTCTTTGGGGTTATCCATGCAGATGATAAAGGGGAGTCTTGAGGGCCGTAAAACAACAACCAAACCAGGCTGGGAAAATAACTTCCCCTCTTTACAGTGGAAATGCATCATTCTTTCACTCACACAGGCAGACAGTGTTTGTATCTGTCTTCAATTTGAAATAAAATGTGTCAAAACCTGTCAGTGGTGATGGAAGTGGATCTTTTAGTTTGAAATGCTTGCTATTCTGTTTCAGTAAGGATTTTATTCTTCTGCACTGTATGTTTGTAGTTTTTCTACCCCATGACAGTCGGCTGTCGCTGGGTTGGTTCGCAAGTTAAGTTGATGGTTAGTGGGCTGAACAGGTTGATGGACAAATACATTAATGTGAGGGTTCCACCTTGGTTGCATGGTTGACAAGTAAGTTTGTTTGTCTGTGTAGGTTCTCAGTCATCCAGGCCATCTTATCCAAAAGAGTTACATCAATAGCAACTGGCCAGAGTTGGCTTTTTGAAGACGTTTCACCTCTCATCCAAGAGGAGGTACTGAAGAAGCCTCGTGGATGAGAGGACTTCAAGAAACCTACTGCATCCAGTTGCCCTTGATGTAATTATTTTTGGAGTAAGTTTGTTGGGCAGGTAATAAATTCTATGCTGTATTTGTGGTTGCTTGTCAACTGTAGTGGCTACATTGCTTAGGTGGCAGTGTTAAAGCTAATAGTTTGTTAAATAGTACATTTCTTGATCAGTTTGTCACCACAAGGCTAATAAGACAATTTCTAGATGTTGGACAACAACAGAGGAGGACGTTTGATGGTTAGGTGTCCTGCTAATCAATGTTAACTATTTATCTAGTTAATTACTTGATTAGATCACAGGGTGATTGGCTTGCTGGTCAGTGGAATGCACAGGTGAATTATTTTTTTTCAGTAATCTACTGTGGCTGGTTGGTTGACTAGATGGTTAGTCAGTTGTTCATCTTCCTAGTTGGTCAGGTGACAACTTGCACTAGTGTTATTTTATAAGTTTACCTGAGTGGTTGCTGCAATTGGTTTTTATGAAAAAAAAAAAAAAAATACACGGAGACTGGAGATTGGACCATCACCAATTATTTCTGCAGTGCAAGAACACAACTGGTATTTCCAACCTTGTGTGTTGTTGTTTTAAAAATATATCTATATTATATTAGATGATACAATTATCTACCACTAGATTATATTTAATATAATTTTACATGATCCTTTTTTATAAAAAATATTTAGTGTTATAAACGTTGAGTCACTTTGCTGCTGTTTTTGCTTTTGTCCTAGATGTACCCTGTTGCTGGTATGCTGTTTCCCATTTAGAAATGTATATAGTATTTCTGTCTATTGTTCTATCACTCAATCTATAAATCTATCTATTATTGATAGCCAAAAACATGTTTTAAAAATATTTGTGCTGGATGAAATACTTTTTCTAAGTAAACCAGGTGAAATGTTTTTTTGTTTTTTTGATTTTTAGATTTTAGTAGTCACCAGAAAGAAAGAAAAGAAAATGTCTGCCAAGGTGTTTATGCACCAGACAAGCGATGCCCAGCAAACAGCCCTGAGTCAACAGATGCACATCTGCAATAAGAAAAGCTGAAATAGTGTTTGCAGGAAAACATATTTAGCTTATCCTGCAGACAAGATAACACGGCCAAGGCAAATAGAGACACAAACAAGCAAAGCTGTCTGTGCATGTAGACATAGGAATGCGGCCACACACTCAAACACACAGACACGGACCAAAAACACATAGCCCACATTAACCACCCACATATCAAACAAGAGAAGCCAAACACTTTGTTTGCACTCCTCTGCTGTATTTTCGCAAGCCATGCGATGGAGGATGGTCCATTTTTGCCACGGGAGATGCCCTTGACCATCATTGGCCTTTTCTCCTCCGCAACACCGAGGCAATTATCACCTCGTGTCTCATCAGACAGCAACCCACAGATTCAGCCAGGAACCCTCCCTCAGCACTGTGGCTCAGGGACAGATTAATTGTCATAACAACGGGCACAGGCCGTACCCAGCACCTCCTGCTGGACAGGAGCTGAGGAGATGACACAATGTGGAGTTATTAATGTTGGCATTAAAAGAGGCAGGAGAGGGATCAACACTGATCTTGGTGGCAGAAGATAGAGGCCAGACTCCAGCTCTGCAGGTAGAGGGATACTTAGCACCAAATAGACTAATTATGTTAATGAGTGTTTTTCATACCCTAACATTTTTTGGAGGCCAGCCAACGGGATATGTAACAAGGATTCTCGGGGATTTAAAAAGCCATCCCCTGTGCTCGAATCTGGTCAACAGTGTTCCTCTAGCTACTAGTTGGGATTTACTGTTGTATTGATGTAGGTGGGAGTTGCTGGTTGACAGTTGTCATATTGGAGCTTGATGATAACAAACAGACATATTGCACATGTACAAACATGGCACTAGGGATCCTAGTACATGAATCACAGGAAGGGGGGTGGTGTCTCCAAATTGCCCCCATCGCATTTGCTCTGACACACAGCAAGTGCTAGAGGCAAATGTGTGAAAATGAGTCACTCGAAAACAGAATATTTACATTATGCAGTAATTTTCACAATATTTGCGTCACATACATTAAGTGAGAAAAGATGAACAAACTCAATGGTAAATAGGTAAATAAGTAGAGAAAATACATATTTGGCATTTTAGTATTTCCTTATAGTAAATAAGGAGATACTATTGTGTAGATGGTGAATAGGTGGCCTAATAGACCACAGGCAGGTAGATATAGTACAAAGGTAGGTCAATCTTTTAAATTAGCCTTGACGTATGCATGTGTGCCTTTGTACATGGAGGTAAATATAAACATTCTTTGTCAGCAGAAGCCGGTGAGACAGCAGTTGACAACAGTTTGTGTAGCAGCTGCTGCCTCACCACTTTTTTAAATTGTCTGCCACAGATATTAGCCAGCAGTCAGTGGCAGGACTCCTATCTCTGCAAATCAAAAGTCATAAAATGCAACTGCTGAGCCTGAAGTCCGCACCATGAATTACAAACACGGTTGTAATAAAATAGTGATTAAGTTTCTAATTGGACCTTAAGCCAGCACTGGTCTGTCCTCAGCCACATTTCCTTCCCTCGGCTTGTCGTTAGCATATTTTTAAAGACACGCTTTACTTCAGTGGCAACAAAATGCACTCTGAGCTTTGACTTCTCCAGAAGATGTGATATTAATACATTCAACGTTGTTTATTTAAACAAGAACTGTTGATGCAAATCAGCATCCTTGCAGTCAACCGTGAGATGTAAGTCGACCTCTGTCAGGATTCCTCAAAACAATATCTCACCCAGTGCAGTGCAAGTGATGACCTGCTTCCACTGTTTGACATTTTATGAGGAAAAAAGTTACCATTTTCTTCGTGCCTCACAGCCTCATGTTTGACAGAATGTAAACCAGCCAACTAAGTCGGGCCACATAGGCTCCATCTAAAAGGTCAGGAACCTCTCAGAGAGCTGCCCAATCCGAGTGAGGAAACAGCTGTCATGGCTGGATGAAATGGAGGTGGCGTAGCCAAAGGGCAACACGGCGTCAGCACAGTAGTAAAGTTTACAGCTAATTCAAGTTTTAGGAACAACACAGGGCAAAACCTGATCACCTGTTTCTGTGGTTGTACATAAGGCAAACCCTGACACTTGAACTTTGTTGTCACACATCTGGTTATTCAATCTGCAGTGAAGTGTTGAGCTGTACTTGCACCGCAGCCTGATTCAAAGCTACATATTAGGGCTCTAAGGAATCATAATGAGTTTGAGGACCTTTTCTATCATTCTTTTTGCAGTTGCCAAGTAAGAAGAACAGTCCTCAGAATGATGCAGTGGCTCATTCGTTGTGAAAACTGGGGTCAGAGCAACAACAACCAAGACTACTGTAAATCTGGGGTTCGAAGAACATCATCCATGAGGTTCGACTTCTAATGTGGTGAGTTTAAATCAACGCTGACTAATCGATGGGTAGTTTCGAGTGTAGTTAGCTGAAAGCTCAAAGTCGTTAGCATGCAATTAATGGTACTCATAAGCTTAGATACAAAATAATTAACACATTCATATATGCTGATATCCTACAAATTGGCAGGTTTATTTGGTGCTCAGTTAGCAAATGACTGGCTAACCCATTGTCTACAAACCAGATAACTAGCAGCAGATGGAAATTAGCTGAAGTGCCTGGAAAGTATTTCTATGGGTGACTATTACTTCAGTTGACTATATTGTTTTCATCTTGTTGCATGAAAACATTTTAATATGGATTTCTTTAACTAATTTCACATTTTTTAAAATTTGGCAAAATGCTTTGTAGTGTTTTTATCAATGCCTGTATCTCTGTGACATCTCTAACCAATGTTTATGTGTATGCAAAGTATTTGAACATAGAACAACGCTGATCAAAAGATATGACCGTAAACCCGAGATTTGTTAGGTTACTTTGTTGATATTATGCAAATTTCTAAGGCCTACAAACTTTAATAAAAAAATAATCCCACCAAACCCTCTGCATCATCAGGGCTTACCTTCATCCCAGGCAGGATATTTTCTAATCAATCAGTTTAGATTGGCTGTGTGAATAAACACCAAAAGCCCTCCTTCAGGCTGCCCATCCTGACCTCATGCCGTGCCGCCTAAACAGAACAACACAATTAAGGGTCACTTCACATTAACCAGTGTCCAGGAGGGGACATGGAGCTACACACAGTTTGGTTATTATTGTCATCCACTGAAACAAAATGTCCTTGTGCAGCTCACTAACAAATCCATGGTCATAATCAGGGATTCTGATGCTTTATGACACATATGCCTCTTAGTTTTGCCTGTTATAAGTCACAATAACAAGCCTCCTCTGACCTGACGCTGCATCTGGGTAGGACAAAAATCAATACTGGTTTTGAGCCCAATGTCAGTCCTGTCTAAAAGAGAACAGTGAGAAAAAAAGTATCATGAAGTCTTTTTTTTTTAATATCACAGTCAACAGTACACACAAAAATCATTTTGTTTTCCTCAGATTTAAATGCAAGTACTGGATATGTTGTTTTTCTGAATACTGAGATTTGAGAGTGAGTGTTTAAAACCTTAATGAAATATCACTCACTACTATATTTGAGCACTTTATATCTTGCCACTAGGCTTAAGTAACACACTTTTTAATGTCTTGAAATGATTATTTATAGCTGGCTTACAGGGGAGACTGACACATATACAGTGTTTTACATCAGGCTGACTGTGTTGTTTTAAGGAGTAGACAGAAACATGCAGTGTCAGCTCCTTTTAGAACAATGCTGCCAGTGGGGACAGCAAGTAAAAGATTGATTTTGGCCACTTTAAAATGGCTAACCTTTTCACTTGTACAAATCATTTATTAATGAAAGAAATTTAGGAAAGTTTTAGTTTTTCTTTTTTTTCACATTTTAATTTTTTTTTTTTTTTTTTTTTTGTCTTGTCACTCAATGCACTAAACATGTTTTACCTGGTTTTTGTCCCCTCTTTATAGTCTTTGAAGTGGTGAAGTTCTGAGAAGTTCTGGCCAAACTTTCAAAGGTTGTTGGGTTTGGGGTTTTTGTTTTTCACTTAATATATACATCAAACACAATCCAACTGAACTAGAGACATTAAGAAATTCAAAATATTGGACCCAGGAATCATGGCACTGCAAATTTGGCAGGATATAGAACATGAAGGTGCATTTATCACCATTACTGATGTGATGAATCCTTCACATCAGGTGGTCATGTAATCTTCACTCTCAGGGGAGGAGTGCAAATGTGAGGACTGAGCTATCTTTTTGAAATGAATCAAAATGAATTCATTTTCATTTAGGGACCTAAATAGGCAAAATTGGGAATTGGGACAACATTTAAGTAGGGTTCCTTTTGCTTTATGGCAGTGTCATCAGCAAATAGGAGAAATATTTGTTTTAGTTTGATGTTTAAATAATATCTGCAATTGTCAAATGATTACAGGTCAGTAGGCGAATGTTTCAACATATATAATTAACATACAATATATGGAGGACTCCCATCTATGCATTTTAATTCATACTCTAAATAAGACACAATGATAAATTTAGCCCTGAGTTTTTAAAGTGATATGCTCTCTGCAAAATCTTAAGTTCCCCATCTTCCTTCCTCTTCTCCCCCGGGCCAAATTTGCAAAAGCGGGTCATCCCAGACTTCATCTCCTCCCCTTAGCAGAGCAGTCTTATTCATCTATCATACTGCTTCCCAGAGGATTTTCTTGGCAATGTAAATTGGGCTTCTCACACAGGCAGAGTTAAGGAAAAATGCATCATCGCAAACTGCAACTACTCCTCTTCCCCTTTACTCACCCTCCCTTCCACCTCCTCTCCCCTCCCTACCACACATCTCTTCTTGCTTATCTGTCTGAGCTTTTATCTGTCCTGCCAAGGTCAAAGAGGCTTGAGGTGATCAGTTGTGATAAAGACAGGATGTGGGGGAGACGGTGAAGAGATGGCTTTGGCATGGGTGACGTGGGGGGGTCTGGTCAAACGAGTTCCGTCCAGCTTTCTGATGTTCATATCTTAACAGGCTGCCAGATACAGTAACACCGGGTTGTATTATTCAGGCTGTCTCCCAAGTGGGCTGTTAGGCACCAGGACATTAGCAAGTCGTCTTGCTGGGTCATAATGCATCCCATTTATCAGGCATGGATGTGATTTGCTGACTTGCTGGGGTTTATCTAATTTTATTTCAAGCTTTACAGAGTCTTTAATATACACTCTCTGGCCGCTTTATTAGGTACATCTCGCTCCTATGTGCCTTCACAGCTACCTTAATTCTAAATGGGATAGATCCTACAAGATAATGGAAATAGACCTGAGATATTTTACTTCCTATTGACATGACAGGTTTATGCATTTGCTGCCCTTGTCAGGTTGTGTTCCGCGAGCAGCTTTAAACTATTATAGATTTTGCATCCAATTTTTAGGCACTTTATTATAT